GTAAACATTTATATACATTTTTAAGACACGGTATTACTTGTGTATAGAAGCTCATCAACATTTCTTATTATTTCCAATATTTACACTAAAAAAAACCCCTCTTAAAATTTAAGAGATTCTTTGTTAAGAACATAATAGGGCTAGAAATCTGCTTCAAATTAGACCTAAATTTCCAAATATTTATGAAGGGCAAGAATCTATGTAACAGAATTGTCAAAATAGCAGTTGCTACAGGCCTTTTACCATATAAAATATCAAATTGCTTTCCGATTGACAAAAATGTTATAATTTTCTTTGTTTAAAGAACCAATGATCACCAAAAAAATGTTTCATTAAGACCATATACTTATAATATTAAGTCCTTCCTTAATTGGCATCCTCTGACTGTACAGAAAAATTAAAGATCCTGCATTTAGAACAGGAAGCATAATCTACAGTAAATCAGAAGGAAAAAAAAAAAGAAAAAAGAAAAAACACAATTAACCCCTCTCCCCCCCCAACATCTTGGAAATTATGTTACTTAAGAAACAAAACATCAAAACCTACTAATAAACAAGTTTTCTAGGCTGCTGTGTTAAGAGAGCATTTAAGGAGCCACAGGTAAAGCACAGCAATAACTATGTAAGGTTGTAAAACAATGTAATTGTTGTCTAGCTTTACCAAAGCCAAATGAAGCAGGTGACTGGGAAAAGCCAGTGCAGATTCACCAGAGGCAAATCATGCCAGACTAACCTGATAACCTACAACAAAATAACATTTCCTGTCAACATCGGGAGAGCAATGGATATTGTTTACCTGGATGTCAGCAAAGCTTCTGATACCTTCCCACAGCCTTCTGCTGGACAAACTGCCAAGATACAGATTGGATGGGTGGTCTGCAAGATGGGCAGGAAGCTGGCTCACAGTCCGCACTCAGAGGCTACTGATCAATGGTTTTTACTCAGGCTGGCAGCCTGTCACAAGTGGGGAACTCCCCAGGGATCGACAGTGGGACCCACACTCTTCAACACCATCATAAACGATCCGGACGATGGGATTGAGAGCACCATCACCAAGTTTGCTGATGACACCACACTGGGTGGTGAGGTGGATGCATCAGAAGGGAAAGCCACCTTACAGACAGACTAGGACAGGCTGGAAGAGTGAGCTAGCAAGAACAGTATGGAGTTTAACAGAGACAAGGGCAAGGTCCTGCGGCTGGGACGACCCAACCAAAGAGCCTGGTACAGGCTGGGGAGCAGCCTTGCTGAAAGGGACCCAAGGGTCCTGGCGGACAACAAGCTGAACAGGAGTCAGCAGTGCACCGCTGCAGCCGTGAAGGCAAGTCGGATCCAGGGTTGCATCTGCAGGGACATTACTAGCACAGATAAGAGATGTGATCATGCCAATCTACCAAGCGCTTGTCAGGCCACACCTGGAGGACAACTGTGTCCTGTTCTGGTCTCCACAATTCAAGAAAGACGCAGACAGACTGGAGAGGGTCCAAAGGAGGGCCAAATACAGCTGTCTAAACTCTGCAGAATTTTCAATATATATGGCTCAGAATACATAATTCAGTCCTTGCAAATGGAAGAGGGGAGAAGCCAGCATTAAAACTACACTAGAAGCTAAGATACAGAAAGGTAACTTCCTCCTTTTTAATACAAGATTTAAAAGACCAAGAGTATCAAACTTTTAGAAACATTCACCTCCCCTCCCTGACCTGGAAAAGCATTGTGTCCCAGAGATAGGACTCTGCAGGAAGCCGAGCATGACGCACAAGGAGGAACAGGGCAGCACACTGCACTATTCCTCCCCTCAGCGCCTGGCCTCACTGGAAGGTAGGGTTGCAGTCTACACTCACCATTGGTACCATTTTTATGTTAAAACCTCGCTAACATGATTTATTCATTTATGTTGGAAAGATCAAGTTTCCAACAAACAGCTCATTCCAAGCTAATTGACAATGGGAAGGAATCCCAATCTAAAAATGGGACTAGGAATAAGATTAAAAAGGGAATGACTCCTGAAACTGTTAACTCGTATCTCCTATTGACAAGTTTCTTCTCAGTTTCTTCTCAGTCCTAGCCTTTTAACTTCCCTTTGCCTCTTCAGATTATTTCCTCCTCCAATTCTCCTGCTAAGCAGTTTACATGAGAAACAACAGCACAGCCATTTCTAGCCTCCAAGAATTTGCTGAAGACTAACAGTTTCAAACCAACTTACTAACTCAACATCGAAATACCTTACTTTCACTTCTCTCAGTATCATAATCTACTTGTTCCATGCACTTCTCATACAGCACTTCTGGAAATGTTCGGTACGTAAATTCATGAAAGATTAAGGAAAGTGAATAGCAGGAATCGTAACATAAAATGTCACACTGTTCATATAACAGAAACTCTCTATATAAGTACCTTAAACCATAGATACCTTAAGCTTTTCTGCTGAAACCCTAAAAGCTTCACAAGTGTATCAGAGAATTTGCATGCAAATTACAAAACAGGAATTTCACCAGTGTCTTTTGTATTTCTCTGGGCACAACGTGGAAGTATGAATTCTGCAAACTATCATATATTTTTCCACTGCCTCTTTACCAGAGAAGTACCAATGGTCACAGGTGGTAATAGCAGTGGAGACACTTTTCCTTTCTACTACTTTGGTGTCTGTTAGCCCTCAAAATAACTCCTTACAATTAGTAAAAAAACATGGGCTTCAGTGTTATGGTTCAGAGCAGTATCATAGTTTTCAGATAAATTTATTTTATGAAGTTGTACCAACACTGACACTGAAACCTGCATGTTGAACCTGGACTTAAAGAGCCCCCAAAATGAGTACTCGTAATTACACTGCCACATAAAAATATGCCAAATACCACAGAAGTTGATTTGCCTGCAATTTTATTTCAGAAATCTGAGTTCCAATTCAAATAAGCTTCTCAAGTAAAAACCACAGAGAATTACATAATTAATAGTGTAGCATCACAAAACTCAATTTAACACAGCTAATGCAAAGGAGTAGAACTGGATACAAAAATTAAGCCAGAATTACTCAGTGCTGGAAAGGCAAGATTAGAATTGCATTCAGGAGCTGTCATAGGTCACTATGTAGTAATTGCAAAGATTATGCTGTGGCCAGGTGGTCTACTGTAACCATAAAATAAAACAAGGAATATCAAGTAGCAAAATTATCTTCCCTAACTTTGAAAAAACCACTACTAGAATATTATTTCTGGTTCTCACATAGACACTTCAAAAAAAGACACGAAATATCAGAGTTCAAGGAAGGGCTACAAAAATGATCCGGAGAGTAGGAAAACCAACTTTTAAGGATTAGTAGCTTGACCTATTCAGTTAAGCAGAAAGATTGACTGGTCATAGAGGTGACAGGGCCTTTCAGTCCTGCTAACAAAAGCTTGGAGAGATTTAGCACTTGGGAGTGAATACCAGACACATTTGCCCTTGAATAGAGATGGAAGTTTCCTAACCGCATATGTACAATACTGAGTCAGTAACTTTGCTTTGAAAATCTTTATAAAACGCAAGTTTTAATCCAGTTTCCAGAATACCTTCTAGTATCTGTCTGTACTGAGATCAGAGTCCCGTCTGCTTCTGAAATCTATGAACCTGCCCATCCTTCTTACGTTTTGGGAAAAATAAGTTCCCACATGCACAATATGCTCGTGTTATTTGCAGCTTCCAAAGCACTTCTAGTATTCTAGCACTTTTTTTTTTTTTTTCCTAAATAGCACCTTCCTCTGCTGGTAGGTTGGTGACAGCTGGAGACTGAATGTCAGACAGAAGGCAGAAGTACTCAGAGACAGTACCAAAAATCCTCCTTAATCCTTCTCCTGTGCTCAGGTCAAACTGATCAGACTTGCAATTGGGACAAATTTTCCCTCAGATCAGGTAGGGTATCTCTTACTATTTTTTAATGATCTTCTGCAGCATGAAGTGCAAATCTCCTATCCAAATCATTCAGGCATACCCTACCTGAGAAATTTCAATTACAAAAACTACACAAGTTCCCAAATAACTTAGCTTGTCTCACTGGCTTCTTCGATGCATTCAGTTTAGTCCACTGAAACTGAACTGCTTAGGTTAATGGCTTTTAAAGTTAACAGCCTGTAGAATAAAAAGGGTTGCACTAGAGAGGTGATCTCTCTATGCGTTATTGACAAAACTACAACATTTGTTGAACAGAAAACATTATAGTGACAAGTATTTTTTCCAGTCTGCTTTCTTGTTACATGAAATTTCATCACTGATGTTGCAGAGACTCAGCTACAGACACCACTCAGTACTACACAAGAATGAGTCAAGTCACTAATTTTCGTTTTCATCCTCTAATTGTGCAGAAAATATCTGAGGCCAAGACAATGTAAAATTCAAATATTTTTCCACTATTAATATTCATGGATGGTGGTGGCAGTACCAGAAAACAAATATATATTTATTTTTGCATTCAGGGTCACGAGTCCATACAAATAAAGAGGTTTAACCCAAATACTGCTTATTTTTAGGTTTCTGTGAACCCACATGCACTTCCCAAGCCTCATGCCAAACGCACCAATAAGCCAGTGCCGTCAGATTTTTGAGCACAGGTCAAATCAGATCACCAGCTTTCCAAGGGCAGGGCCCCAGCTTTATCCAACAAGTATATGGAAAGCTTGAGACAAACTGATCAGCGTATCTGACCCAAAAATGAACACTGACCTTAAACTGAAGTTATAAAAGCCGCTAAACTTTTAATTCCAACACCGGATTTGTGGAAAACACAAAGGCACACATCAGTTTATCAAAGAAAGAGCCAAAACTGACCAAAGCAAAATTAGATGTTTAATTTGCAGTGTAATAAATCAGGTAATAAGATTTCCATAATTTTCACATACACACATTTGAAAACATATTTTCCTTGGAAACAACACACCTAAAGTCATGAAAGTCTCCAAATTCCTTAGCGGTACTCCACACAGTCCCCCAGAAGGAAAGCCATCTGCTTACATAGAGGTGGCACTTACCGAGAAGAGTCTACTGCTGCTTCACAGAATAGCAAGTTCAGGGAGATGCGCAGTGGTTGCACCAGTGGCTTTAGACAGAACTGAGAACTAGGTCAGGACCTACAGTTGAGGACAAGGTTTTACCACTGTCCGTCATAAACTTGGGGATGCTTCTGATACAGCAGGTCAAGAGGAAGAGCACACAGCACAGGCTCTTCCCCACAGCAGTGGAGAGGCTGTAGCACTGCATGAGAACTGTGGAAGTCATAAGCAGCTTTACCGAAGGAAGAAGACTCCAGAGCTCATTTGAATGCAGGACACAATACGAGTTGCAGGTTGTCTAAAGGAAAGTCACACATGTGCTCTAGGTGTAAAGACAAGAGGAAAGAGCAGCTTTCTTCTTCCCTCAAGATTTTCTTTTGACCTCAAGTTTCAGCAAAATACGCAAAATGAACAAGGCCCCTTCCACTATGCTGTATGACCACAGTAGCACTGTTTCACTTTTCCTATAGGTTTTTATAAGTAATAGTTTCTGATGGTACTACCTATTCCAGTGCTACCCTTCTGTTTTTTAGATAAAGGAGAGTGGACATTCTAAAATTAGACTTGAAAATCTACCTTTATTAAAATGTTTGTTAGGGTTTTCAAAAAGGTTATACCAGATCAGTGCCTAGGAAAAAACAAACGAACGAGCAAAAAGACCCCACCTATATACCCAGTGCTATCACAGATATAAATAACTGAAAAACTTATGTTTAAAATTTACATTATCTTTAATGTTCATCACTGTTGAAGCTACTTGGAACCTGTGCTTGCAAAAAGTGCTGTGAATAACAAAAGCTTCTACAAATGACAGAAGAAATTAAAACTCATTTTTTAAAAGGAACATAGATACTTCCCCGATACTTTAAAAATGCAATAAATTTCAGTAACTTTATTCAAATCTAAAATATTGCATAAAGGATCAACTGAAATGCAGCAGTGCATAGGCGAAGTGGCCCCATTTTGGCCAGGATCCAGTTATTTTCATGTAGACTGAATAGCGAGGGATAAGATTTCTGAAACGCGTTGGCAATGAACAGAACAATGTCATTTAACCCTTCGAACTACACTGCAAAGATAACTTCTTCCAGAACAGCTGGATGACATTATTCATCTTTACTTACTTACAGGGGAGAGAAAAGTAGTCACAGAATCTTTTTCTCTTCAGTTACACATAAATAGGAAAAACACTACCCTAGACTTGTTAAAGCTATGATTTCACTTTATGCAAGCATGAGAGTTATTTTATAGGTTTGGTTGGGTTTTTTTTAAAGTTAATTCAGGTTAAATGCTGAAAACATCTCAACCAAAGAGAGAGAGATTCTGCTTCACAGTTTATTCTGATCGTATAAACAGAGCTTAGGGATTTATAAAAGCGTTCTGCAAAAAGGACTGCAAAATCAAAATACTCTAGTTCAACTACTGCATTCACCAGAAATTATTAGACCTTAATAACAGCTCTTACACATCCTGATTTGGAGACAAGACATTCTTACTGAAGCAAGGGCAAACTAAAAGTGCATAAGCGTATCAGTTTTGCTTTCCAGGCTGAAATGAAGTTTTAGTATGTTCCTTACATATTACAATAAGGAACGCAGTCACTAATGTTAGATTGTACTACATGATATCTATTTTTGTTATGCTAAGACATCTCATTCATTAACTTTTCTTGTGTTGTTCTGAGCTCCTGCTCTGAGGTACATGGTCTTGAAAAGAAATAATCTAACTTGCTATCCATCAACGGTGATAATTAGTTTTCAGAGAATTTGACATACACCCCTCCCCCCCCCCCTTTTTTAGGAGCTTATACTTCATTATGCAATTTTTATCTGAATCAGAGGCACACTAAAACTGTCTTTTTTTACACAATATCGCATTTTTATTGATGGATTTGTTAGGCAATGACATCATAAATCTTTAATACGTTCTGGCAGCATTTGTTGCTACTTAAACTTATGTCATAAACCCCAATAATAAAATTCAAGAATTACGTGAATTTCTTTATGGTTTTCAAGAAATGGTAAGAAAGTTATAAGCAATTAGTGTAGCTGCTCCAAGAGATTATGAAATCACAAAAAGAAGAATGAAGAGGCTAAGTAACTTGGCAACAGAGCCACAAGGTGAACTTACTGTTTCTTGATGAATTCATGGTTAAAATATACCTATAACTTTGGAGATCATACAGCAAATGCCCCACAAGAAAAAATCCCGCATTATTATGAGACTGGTTGGTTAAGATTTTTGAGATGGAACTAACCTGAATATTCATGACTAGGTGCATGAATTCAGTCATTATTTTCTGGCAGAGAATCCAAGTAACTCAGAAATTGCTACAGTGATTAGAGAGTGTGCAGGCATTATGGTGGAACCAGCAAGTTTGATATGTAAGCAGCACAAATGTTGTTGATGGGTGCATTACCGGTTTGAGCTAGAAAAGAGTGAATCAAAGTACATAAATGAGGTGAAGGTTAATACGAAGACTGGAGATTTCAAGCAGGCTTGAATCAGGCAGATGAAGGCAGTGGAGATGTTGAATTTTTCATGGATTTCTCATTCGCGTTCAGCTGAGGCTTTTCTGGGTGGCACCCCCCAGTTCTTTTATAGCACTTCCCAGTTTTGATGGGGGAGGAAGAGAAGGGCGGAAATCCGAATAAATTATGAGACCAATTTAGTCTCTTGACACAGTAGAATCAGGCAGAATTTAAAAAGCCTTTAAGCAGGAGGAAACAAATATCTTTGGAGAATGCAAGCCTAAGTATTAATTTTGACGTAAACCTTCCATGTGATATTTTATACTGCACTTGCACATAAAAAGAGCTTTGAAATGTGAGCCTCGCATATGTATCATCATTCTATTTCCAAATTAGACAGCTAACAGCCAGGCTTACTGAAGTTCCAAACACTCCTTTACATTGTGGTTAATCAGGCATTTTTAAGTCCTTCAGGTAGGTGAAAAATTTTTAGGAAGACGAAGTGGTTTACACCATCCTTTATCCACCCTACACTGAAAATTTCTGGACAGTGTTTAAAATACATGCCCTATATAAAGGATATTAACACTACCTTCATAGAAGTGACAGTAAGACAAAGTTCATCCCATTACACAGTTCCCAAATCCAAGAGCGTTCTTTTCCATCTCTCAGAATGTTCTTGACAACTTTTATCTACAGATTAAAGACATATCAACTACAGAAAAAAGTCTGACTGGAACTCATTTTCCTACATTAGATTGTTGGTTGTTCCATATTAGGAAGTAGCATGTCAAGAAACCCCCCATGAACTCTATTTTAGGAGCAACTCATGTCTGTTTTTCCCCAGGGAGTGTGAATGTGCTCCCCGCCCCAAAATTATGCAGTCATGTTTCCTACTTCTGGGTAAACCTCAAGGGTCACGCACACCCACATGGTAACAGATGAAACACCACAAGAAAACCATCTTCCTGATCATGCTGTTGCCCTTGTCAGGCAAGTATTACACAGCCAAATATGGCTGCATAAATCAACATTATGCAAACCCAGGACTTATCTTCCAGCTGAGATTCTCATTGCTTCTACCTGACAGTGGCAAAAAGATGTTATTTACTTTGCTCTACAAGGTTTCAAAATTACATCTGGGGAGAACTGCAGCAGTCCAGTTTCTGCAGTCACTGTAAATCACGCGAACACAGTGTTTAATAGCCATTTTAGCGACGTTACTTTCAGAATCACAAACACAATTGTCTACAGCAGCCCAGACTTTAGTATTTCAGGAATCACGGCCACTCTCACACTTTCTACTAGGCCTATTTCTTAATTTCTGAACTAGGACCATTCCAGTCTCCAGACTGTTACGTTATTCAACTGAAAATTCAACAGACTAAAGAAGAACGCATACAACACAGACATGCACAAACCATGGCATAAATATTCTGGGTGCGTTGCAGGAGGACAAGGACTAATCCAAGCCCGATACTTGCTCAATTACTAGAATGGCTGTAGAGCCTTGCACACCACAACCTGGTTAATTGACAGAACAACTTATGCTCTGCTCTGCTGTTACAAAGTAGGCCCATTCATAAAGGCTGTCTTCACTGAAGAGGCCAAGATGGATGCATTTATTTTTTCAGTCCGGTTCTAACCATCCAGTCCAGGACCCTAAGGGCCACGCATCAGCTCTCCCTCCTGCTCTTCCACACATACAGCTTTGAGAACCAGTCCCAGGCACACAAGTCCACTCTTAAGGTTCCACTCCAAACCTCAGGTACAGACAGAAGTGCACAACAAAGTATCCAAAGGTCACAACAGTTTTGCATGGCTGTAATGTTCTAGAAAACTAAACCAAACCACTATTAAAACCAAAAGAACAAAACTGAAATCATGCTTCTGGGCATTCTGCACTTACTGAATTCAAGTTCCAATGTAAAACTGAAAGGCTCCTGTTCTGCACATACCCATGCTTCCAGATTAAACCGAATATTATCCATCCATAAAGACTAACACCTTTAGGCAAGGATTATTTTAGCTGACAAAAGTTTGAAGATTAATAGTAAAAAAACCCCCAAAGTTTCTACACATCTGTCTTCTTATTGGTTGTTTAAAAACAACTCCACTGACTATCATATTGTCTTTATTACTGATTTTTACTCAGATCCCTATCAAAGCAACTCCTCTTCTATCCACGGACAAAATGTCCTCCATCTTTCAACATTATCACTACCAATAGCTAGAAAACTTCTAAAAACACAGTACACCTGCTTATGTTTGCCTAGCAGAAACCAGAGACCTTTCCCTACTGTGTTCTAAAAATCACACCTAGCCAGTGATGGGTTTATAATCCCAGAAACAGAAATGTAAGTTAAAATAATGAACAACAAAGATACATAGTTGTATCAAATCAGTTGAATAATCCACACAGCACTGTCAAAGTACCTTCATTCCTGACTCAAGTTCTAAAACAAACTCTTTCTAGAAACCCTACTGCCACTATTTTATTGCTCAAATATGTATGTACAGTTCTTTCAAGTTCATTGAAAGGCTACTGGCATCAGAAATTGCAAATCACAGTAACATGCACACAGTATTCAAAGCCAGAATTCTAAACCCAGCTTTTACAGTGATTCCCAAACAGCGTGCAGTTGGATATATGCCAGAAGTTTCTGCCCATGTGAAGTCCAACTGATTTCAACAAAACCTTAGAAGTTGGTAAGCAGCTCTCCAAGGAGATGGGCAAAACAACTGTGTGAAATGAAAACAATAATCACTTGTAAAAACCAATACCACAGTACAGCTCTAAAGCAAGAGTATTATTTTATATGTAGAA